CCCAGCGGCAACTATACAGAGGAACAGATGTGGCCATCACAAACTGTGACCTCATGCCTGTCGCAGCCTTCTATAATCTCCTTCTATAAGTGAGCAGGAAGCATTGTGAGACACCCGTCTCGCACCCCACACTCCTTCAGGAAACAGCTCTGCTGCTGAACTTCCTGGACCTGAGGGCTTTGACACCCTAACCCAAGAAGTAGCTCCTCGCTCACACTATTAGGAATAAATGGAGTGAAGACCTTCTGCTAATACAGGTCATGGGCTGCACCTCTCTTACCCAGTCCCAGACAACACTGGGACCCCATAATCGCATCAGTTCTTAGAGCAGTGAAACTGGCCTTTTCTGGAGAAGGCTTGTGGGTGCAGGAGCTTGGTTTACTAGATTATGGGAACTTAGCCTCATAAGAAAGAGGGAACCTCAAAATCAACCTCTTCCAAAAGTAAATGGCAAATCCCTTCCATCTTAGCCTTCTCTCAAAGTTTTCACATCCCATAACTGTTCTATAAACTAATCAAGCTAGTTTTTCTACAGCTTGGGAATGAAAATAATTTGGATTTTTAAGTTGGTAGCTGCTCAGATGCTAGCATATCTGAGGCCATGTGATTAGATTAGGAGCTCCTAGATTAGGAGCTGGTGTTCATGTTACCAAAAGTTTTCAGCATCAATGGTACTTTCTTGACAGAATCAGCTGAGAGGCTAGGCATGAACTGTTCTTTCAATGCTCAGATTACTTCCTTCAGAACTGAGTTTTAATGTACTATGCTGCTGCTGCTGCTGCTGCCTAGGATAAACAAGACTTAAACCACCAGAGTTCTCAGTCTGGGTCTTTTCATGATCACTACATTCATCCTAAAACTAACATGAAAATATGTATGCCCTCTCCCAGTACTTGGGGTTTATATTTGTGTATACCTGAAACTGCCTTTAACTTACTTTTTTAAAATTGATAAGATTTCAAGTTGATGATGTCCCTTTACCCCTTTCATGGTCAGATGATGTATTTGGGGAAAGGAGCTTGCAATAACAAATGTATCCTTCTAGATGCAGATGTTATTTTATTCCCTGCTATATATGTCAGACCTAGCAAACTAATTTCTTCCTTTATTTTACATCTATGCATTGTACCTTTCTGAGTTATACTGAATTAATGGTTGTGTTACCATTTTTTAAAATTTCATAACAGGATTCATGGCTTAAAATCTGGAAAAACTTTGAAGGAATTCCGTGGTCATTCTTCATTTGTTAATGAAGCTACTTTTACACAGGATGGTCACTATATTATCAGTGCATCCTCTGACGGCACAGTGAAGGTAAAATGGCCACTTACTTCTATGAGTCACATATGGGACTTGTTCTGTGTGTTGGAACAAACTGGGGCATTCAATCTTTGCTATAATTTCCCTTAAAGATACTTTATTATAGACAGGCAATTGGTCTAGATGCCCATAATGTTCTTTCTGGCTTTAAAATCTCTGAATCTATTTAATTCCATTTTCATAATTGGTTACTCTTTTTTTTTTTTTCTTTCTTTCTCTAGTTTCAATAGATTTATTTTTTTTAATGCTGAATGCTGTGTCCATAGCATCTCTTCCAAAACTGTGATGTCTTTTTAATTTAAATGCAGAAATGTACCTACTCAGAGTGATTCCACTTTATATTCTGCTCAGTAGATTTGGAATATGAAGACAACTGAGTGTTCCAACACCTTCAAGTCTCTTGGCAGCACAGCTGGAACAGACATCACTGTGAATAGTGTGATTCTGCTGCCTAAAAATCCAGAACACTTCGTCGTTTGCAACAGATCAAACACAGTGGTCATCATGAACATGCAAGGACAAGTATGTCATCCAAGAGTGTCCCTTTGAAGTGACTAAGAAAGAGTTTAAGAAGTATTAGACCTAGGAAGAGATGTGTGGTCCTTCCAAACCGTATTGGGTGAAGTCCTGATGTCTCCCTTTAGTACAGTGGTTCTCATACTTTTTGGCCTGCAGCCCACCTGCTTAACACAGACCTTCCCAGGGGCAGCCACCCATGATGACAAAATGAGAGCAGGAGATTGTGGGGACATGGGGTCTGTCTGGGAAGTAGGGGCTGGAGATGGAGGGTAGGGTGCAGGAGCAGGCTGAGGATGGGTCTGGGTGGGGATGCAGAGTCTTGCAGGAAGGGGCTTACCTGGCTCTGTCTCCCCCATCTCTCTCTCTCTCTCTCTCACGCATGAGCACACACACCCCACCCCACCTCACCCCCAAAGCTTCCATTAGCCATGATGCTGGCAATGGAAGCAGTGGGGAAAGTCTCCAGGTGGTCTAGCAGCGAGGAGGGGGAATGGCAGTGCACAGAGCCCCTTCCTTCCATGGTAAGCTGGATCAACCCATGAGGCTCCCTTCCCCTCCCTCTGCTTTGGAAAGTCGGCACTGGTGCTCCAACCTTGCGAGGGGGTGTGACGTAGTGGGGGTACTTGCTGGGCTGTGGTGACCCCTGCTGTCTGGAGCAAGACCCAGCAGGGAAAATTAGTCATGGACTACGCTTTGAAAGCCACTGCTTTAATAGAAACTAGTAGGTACTTTGCCCTTCTGAAAATCAGGCTGCTTATTTAGGCAATAGAGTTCCTGACCCCAGTATCTAGTAGAAGCTAACCTTATTAGAGTGGCCCTGTTGCTGTCACATGTGAATCCAGTGAACTTGTTTTGGGTTTTATAGATTGTAAGAAGCTTCAGCTCTGGTAAGAGAGAAGGTGGTGACTTTGTTTGTTGTGCCCTTTCACCACGTGGTGAATGGATCTACTGTGTGGGTGAAGACTTTGTGCTGTACTGTTTCAGCACAGTGACTGGAAAGCTGGAGAGAACTCTGACGAGTGGGCTTGGAGCACCAGTGCAGGTTCCTCGCTGCAGGGAGATGAGCCCCAAGCCTGTGGCTCACCTGCAAGATAGTCATGGACTACGCTTTGAAAGCCACTGCTTTAATAGAAACTAGTAGGTACTTTGCCCTTCTGAAAATCAGGCTGCTTATTTAGGCAATAGAGTTCCTGACCCCAGTATCTAGTAGAAGCTAACCTTATTAGAGTGGCCCTGTTGCTGTCACATGTGAATCCAGTGAACTTGTTTTGGGTTTTATAGATTGTAAGAAGCTTCAGCTCTGGTAAGAGAGAAGGTGGTGACTTTGTTTGTTGTGCCCTTTCACCACGTGGTGAATGGATCTACTGTGTGGGTGAAGACTTTGTGCTGTACTGTTTCAGCACAGTGACTGGAAAGCTGGAGAGAACTCTGACGGTGAGTACTTAGCGCTCACAAAGCAGAATCTGTTGTTTTTATCGGTTGTAGTGTTCATGAATTCCATAGTGACCACTTCCTCCCATGATAAATGCCCTCTAGTGGTGGTTATAGGGTTGGTCCTGAGTGCTTAGCTAAAGGTATGGGTTATTTTCAGAAAAATGTGTTTAAAAATATGAGTTTCAGTTAAAATAGAGCACATACTCCTTGAAAAATGTTTGAAGTGGTCACTGAGTATATACTGTGATTTAACCCTGTACTTCCCATAAGTCAGGGTTGGACTAAAAGTACTGTTTCTAC